AGCGGCTCCAAGCTTGGTCCATTCACCGCCTTCAAGAAGTCAAAGATTTCCTTGTGTTGGCGGCGTTCGGCGTAGCATTATATATATATATATATATATATATATATATATATATATATATATATATATATATATATATATATATATATGCCCCTTTCTGAGGCTGATGTTGCATTCATGATGCTTCTTCATCGCAGTTGGGCTAAACCAACTTACACTTAAACTAGGTCATTTTAATGTGGATACAATTCATTACATGTTATTTGGTTTATTCTGCGTACTTGATAATCTTCTCCTTATTTGCACACGTCGCTCACGCAAATTGTGGTAAACTTGCGTAATTTTATTGTGTGGTATTTTTTAAATAACTTTCGGACATTTTGTACTTAGCACGGATTCACTTATAACCAATTTCTTCTATATGCTCATTTAGCAAGTATTTATGTCGTCATATGCGTTTACTTTACTCGATATCGGCAATTCAAATGATTGGCTGTTGTTTGATATCCCCGGTGTGGCTGCGCTTGTGGTGAATGTTGACAAGGTGCCTACCTGTCTATTACCCACTACCTCGTCCATACTGGCTCCAGGAGACAGTTGGTCGTTGCTGGAGGGGATGGGGTGCACGGTCCTTGCGGTCGTACTAGGCTTGAAGAGTGGTTCCATGCACTCAGTGTGGAGCGGACTACGGTCCAGCCACCGCCTTGTGTGCACTTGATTCCCCAAATACAGCGTGCTTGTGTTTGTCTGTGAAGGAGTGAGGGCCGGCTCCGTTGTTGAAACGTGGCTGCCATCCGCATGTCTCCCGGTCTTATTCCTTCGGTTTTACACTAGATATGGGGTGTGTGGATGGAGCTGTGGGTGGTGCAGCGCAAGCCATCCATGGTCTTTCTGCAGGCGCAGGCGTCCTTTGGCTGGCCACAGTGACAGGCAGTTTCGAAAGCGGATGCCGCCAACCATTTATATATATATATATATATATATATATATATATATATATTATATATATATATATATATTAAATGACATACTGTATATTACATCCTGAATAGTTCAGTTGAGAGTTGCAGACAGCTACTCAAGCTTAACCCTGGTATACGTGTCCGTTACACCACCTTTCTACTCGTCAACTTTGTTCACAGGAAGTGTAAGGAGTTGGGTGAGTGTACACTATTGTATCTATTCGATATGCTTCCAGACGCTAAGAATAAAGAGGTAGAAAGCACGATAGGACTCCCAGTAAAGAAGGACTCGGTACATCACCACGCTATGGTCGTCCAAAGTACAACGGATACCGGAGCTGCAATGCAGTTATCAAACGGTCGATGTCGCCGACTCAAGCTAGACCTTGGGAAGACTGAAAGTGGTGGAAAAATTTTCGCTACTTTTGTCCTGTATGTGTGCAACTGACAACTACCAGCCTAGACTAAGTCCGCTGACAGAGTGACCATGATGAATTAGCTGAACTGCCAGTATGACAAGGGATAATTCAGAATACCTAGATTGGAATGAGTTCGAGCAGAGTCTAACTCGTGTCTTCTGAATGCCAATATGAATAGTATATTAACCAGGCATTTTTATCACCTGCTATCAACTGGGGGTATAGGTTACGACGTTTTCGCGCAAAGTAATACTTGTAGCCGGCCCACAGTTGAAGTTCATTCATCATCATTATCGTCATCATTATACACAATAGCTGAAAATGGAAAACACCTCAGCTATTGTGCCGCAATGAAAAAGACATGAAAAGGAAAACAAACAGTGGCACGCCGGCTGAGTCCCCACTAAGGGATGGACATCGTTCCGGACAGCTAACAGCTGGCTATCGTGCCGTAAAATGAGAGCTATATTAAGCCTAACGAGTGAGATCGTGATTGGAGGGGGATGCTAAGCAGGAGGGGGATAGACAAAGGAACTCACAACACAAACGCCATTGGGGCCGGCTCCAAGCCATATCAGCAAGTTTGTCCAACCAAACGTGTTCACCGTCCTTAGGACCCCAGCCAGGCAGTCGGGATGCACCAACCGACACCAACTTCGAAGTGAGGGTTTTCATTCCTCTCGACCAAGTCATCGTGTCCAGCAAACGTTTGCTTCATAACTATCGAAGAGGAAAGGTGACAGCGGGCAACCTTGTCTCACACTGCTGGTGATACTGAAGGGTGGCGACAGTTTGCCATAAACCCTCACTCTGCCCGAACTATGCGCGTACAGCGATTTGATAATGTTTACATATTTATCAGGCACACCTGTCCTCAGCAGACAGTCCCAAAGGGCACATCGATCGACTGAGTCGAAGGCACCTTTTATGTCAAGAAACACGACAACGGTGGGTCGCCAATAAACATGGCGGTGCTCCAACTATTGACGCAAGGTGAAGATGTGATCGATGCAGCCCCGACCTCGACGAAATCCGGTTTGCTCTTCACGAATCTGGCTTTCACGAGTGTCAACCAGTCTGTGGAGAATGACAGAGGCAAGCAGTTTAGAGGCAATCGAAATCAGACTGATCCCTCTATGATTGCCGCACTCCAAATGGGAGTTTCCATTGAAAATTGGGACAATGACGGAGCGGTTCCAGTCTGTCGGGACCGTTTCCTGCTCCCAAAGTTTCACAAGCAACTCATGTAAGTCATCTATTAGAGCAGGTCCCCGAATTTGAAGAGGGCTGGGGGAATTCTATCTGCCCTTGCGGCCTTATGCAATTTTAACAGCCTGATCTCACGTTTGACTTCTGCGCGTGGGGGCGGATCCAAGGAGACGGCCCAGGGAGAAGGGTGCTCAATGCCCGAAAAAGAAACCGATAACTCAGGTTGGTTAAATTGCCTTGCAAAGTGTTCAGCCCAACGCTCCAAGTGTTTTGACAGGCTGCGGATCGGCTGCCCGTTCTCGGCGCATATGGTCTCGCTGACACCAGGTCGTCTGCTGCATGTTTCCCGTATCAGACGGAATAACTTACGATGATTGCCAACGGTAGCGGCTGTTTGCATCTCAGAGGCACGATGAGACCACCAGGTTTCGCGGTCTTTCTTCAGGCTAGCACGTAGTTTTGCCCTGAGATCTTTGTGAGTCTCATTGTATTCGTTTCCAGCCGGAAAATGTGGGCGAGCATCCATAAATTCCAGATACTGTGTAGTGACCCAATGTCCGGTTTGGCAATTTGCTTTGCCACATGAACACATGCCTGTTAACAGTAACATTTGACGAATATGCGACCAGTGATCTTCGACGGTATTTAGTGGGCGCTTACTCAGCCCAGATGTCAGCGCACTTGGATACACATTCAGTACACATGGCTTCGCCAGCTGGCTGGTGTCAATCCGTTCACATCAACGTTGCGGACGTCCACCGAAACGCACCAGGAGGTCGGCACAGACAGGTGCGTGCTCAGAGTCCATGCTCGTGCTCCAAATCGAGCGACAGTTTTGGACACAGTCTCTCCAGCGGTAACTGATCGCGATATGATCGTTTTGCGTCCATGGCTGGCCCGAGGCTGGTGGCCGCCAAGTCACGCTTCTGCGGGTGCTTTGTCGAAAGTTAGTGCTCGCGAGAAAGAGGCGAGCATCTTCACACAGCTGTAGCAATCGCTCACCGTTATCATTACGGGAGCCTACACCATGTTGGCCGCCTAGATAGAGCATGTCAGAGGACAATTTTCCGACTTGAGTGTTTAGATCGCCAACCAATACCACAGTAGCCGTGCTTCCTCTGTAACGAAGGAGCTCGTGAAGTTGCTGATAGAAATCATCTTTTACCGAATCAGTGCTACAGTTTGTAGGGGTGTAGGCCGCAATGACAAACAGGCACCGTTTGTCCCCGCGCGACTTCGTAGCACGGAACGAACCAGCTAATCTAACGGCGCACATCCTACTGTTTACTGGGATCCAATCGATCAGGGCAGCTTCAGTCCGGGGACTCAGAACAATGCCGATGCCAGCTTGACCGGCATTTGAAGCTGCATCATCGGCAGACAGGCGATGGGACGTTCAATGATCTTTGACCTAGGCGTGTGCGTTTGGCTGGTAAGAGAAGTGAAGTTTCCTTTTACCATGCGCTCGGTTATTCGCAGCTGTTTGCGTGCATCGATTTGAGTTAGCTTTATAATGTTAATCGGTTCGGTTCAATTTTCATGTAGTGCCGTTTTAGTACTTGAATCTCCGGAGAATGCCTACGTGGTTCTCCATTTAGTGGAACGAATCCCCACCGATGACCGCGGTTGGTTGAATAAGATTTTTCGCGTAGTCCTTCACACTCAGTGGCGTTATTTTGAAGGATGACTCGCAAGCAGACGACTAGAGCGGGCCGTAAACTCTCTGGTAAGGAAATCGCTTCCCTACACCACATAAATGTAGACAAACCTCATGCCGTTGGTAGCCACAACCACGAAGCAGTGTGCCGGTAAGTCCCCAATGAGTACTTCTTAGCTGGTTAATAATAATAATATAATAAGAGTAATAAGAATAATAGTAACAAACAGGACCTGAAATGTGAAACCACTTTGCTAGTTTTCAAACTATTCCTCTATACTGCGTTTCATCCAAAGTATGGGGAGTTAAATATCTGTGACTAGATAACAAGTTTTAATCGCACTACAGAACAGGGGTTTCCGCAAGGTCTTAACAGAATGCGGCACGCTTGTCTTCCTTTCAGTGGGAATACTCTTATCAATCGCACTACCTTGGATACTCAGTTATGACACGCTAATCTTGCCTACCGCTAATCGAACTGGCTGTAGTGTACAGGAATTGGTTGACATTCTTACGATGCGCTTGGCGTGAATGATACCTCCAACTCACCAGGCTATTTACATGCGTCAACTGAACATATCTGAGTCCGATCGTATAACAGTATACTTAATTAGCAGACAGATGTTACGTTCATCTGTAGCTTCGGCCCAATGCATATAGTATTGAGCGCGTCGTGCGTAAACTAAGACTGACCGACGGTAGATGCTCACATGTAGCGTAGACAGTAGAATCAAAAGCGTTTCAACAACTCACCAAGCAATTTTGACGTGGCATGTTTGCTATCGGTAATCTCATTACATCGATGGCGCGACCCAGAACAACACAGGGTAATACGCTCAAGTGGACGATCGAGAGAGAACACTTGCCAAATGTAACCAAAACACGTTTGGTGGCTGCGAATGGACCTATTCTGGTTGTGTGCACACCTTAACACATTTCGCAGCCCCCTTCCTGCATCACCCAATGAGAACGCTTCAAGTGGGGGTCACGTGGGTCGACTGACAGCTTCCATCATGATCGTCCACGGCCTCCGTTGACGCATCGACCTTGTTTGTGGGACGCGTGATAATCGGTTAGGTATCACGTGCTTAGCATCTGGGTTGACACGTTTGTGGAGCTTTGAAATGATCTGCCTACCAGCTTGTTCTCACTTAACGGATTCAGTGCTTCAGAAATTCACCAATCCAACCGAAATTGAGCGGTTTCATGTGTGCAGATCACGGGTTCCTTGTATCAGATATTCGGAGTAGCTTGATATTTCTCGAAAAGTACCCATGGAATTGCTAAAACACAAGATTGCGAAGAGCACTCTTTTCGATAAATCTCATCAGGCGTTTACAATTATAACCAACTTTCCATCATAATTGTAAACGCCTGATATTTATCGAAAAGTGGTCTTCGCAACCTTGTGTTTTAGCTTAATATTTGCTGGAGGGTGGACCATGTCCGGTACTGCGATGCTATTTGCCAAACAGGTACTCAAATTTGCGTACAGGCATACAATGGAACCATGGAACAACGGTATATTACGGGTGAAAAAGTATACGCTTAGCAGGTTCCGCGGGATGGCCAGAATGAGAAACACAATAAGATGAATAGAAAACAAAAATAAAATAAAATCGTTATGGTAGACTCACCACAGTATTCACACGGTGGCATGCAGAAAGAGCCAACCTCAGTTATGTAGGTTAATTCTGGTTGTGCGACTTTCGTCACAATATCGTGGGTCGATGCACGCAGGCTGCATCTCGTAATGTAGGTCAAGGCGTTTTTAAACACAGGTAAATTGAAGGCGGAAATAACGTTATTTGGGAGGGCGTTCCATAGCTGACACACACGAAGAGAGTAAATGTTCCGTCGAAATTCTAGCCAACTGTATTGGATGTCCAACTTGAGCTGGTGGCCCTTCAAATTCGTGTTGTCGCTGAGTTATAGCAGGTGGTGGCAGACGTGGCTGGGGTTCCTCAGAACCTGTTAGGTCATAATAACGTCACGTAGGCGCCGATTCCGGCCGTTGTATAATTTAGGGTTCTCAGCCTAAGTTGATGCGGGAGATTGAAAAACGCTTTGACGTGTTTCGTGGCTCGTCGCTGTAGAGTTTCGAGCCCCGCAAGATCTTGCTTGTGCCAAGGCTGTCAGGCCTGGATTGCGCATTCCGCATGTGGCTGCACGGATGTGTTAAGCAAAATCGGAAGGACAGAGGGATCAAATTACCCAAATGTCCTCTGCAGCATACCAACGTGTTGGTACGCAGTCTTCGATGCCTTCTCAGATATTTCTGAGTAGCTCAGATCATCACATACAAGCATGGAGACCACTTCCTGCGAGCGGTTACACATGAGGGTGACTAGAAGCATTAATTCAGACGGATTTGGGTTGCTCAGCACAAGCTGAGAGTGTCAAATACTGGGAAGCAACCAATTGTCATGCTGCGGAGAGTATTCAGGTGGCTTGGTCCGTCTGTCCGTTCGAATTTGTTTAATACATATGTGCGGCCCAATGTGAATTACGCGATACAGCTATGGCAGCTCTGGCAAAACCAGGACGTCGCCATGCTCTTGACTCCACAAAGAACAACAACCAAGCAAGTTAAGGGAATGTTTCAACTTTCCTATCCACTTAGGCTTAGAAGCATAGAACTATACAGAGTTCAGTATCGGCGACTAGGTGGCGACCCAATAATAGCCTATTAGATTCTGTGGAACCCCAACCACATCTGTCGCCACCTACTGCAACTTAGTAAGAACATAGACCTGAGGATCCACCAGTGTAAGTTATCCACGCAATACAGTCGAGTAGGATGTTGGCGAAATGTTTGCTCCCTTCGTGTGTCAGATTTTGAAAGCCCTCCCTACTTACATTATTTCTTCCCGACCTATCTGTGTTTAAAGAACGCCTTGATGCTGCCCTAATCCACCTACATTACGAAATATGGTCTGTGTACATCGAAACGCGATGTAACGTAAAAACATCTCATCAACCGGCATTACACCTCGTAACCAAAACCGGCTCTTTTACGCATGCAAAAATGTAAACACAATGGGGAGTCAACTTACACGTTTTCAATACAGACGTGCTTGTAACTGGTCCGAGTGACTGACCAGTTACTGCTGAGTGACCGTTGTTATGCCTATGGCTATCACAGTGAGATGAATTCGGGACAGATTTCGGCCACTCAGAAAATATTTCCGCGTAGCACTACGGATTTTGTGTTGCGTAACTACGATATGTGAATGGACTTCCGTTTGTTGGTGAGAGTAGTTGTAAGCATAAAAATACATCCACGACGTACTTTAAGGTTGCAGTAGCAAAAAGTTTCCTTAGTGAAGAAAATTCGTCCAAACTGTCTCTCCTAGGACAGCCAAAGGCATAAAAACGGTCACTCAGGGCGCTCTTCCCTTCATGCCAGCGGACATTTTTCGGTCAGTCTTGCTATACAGGAGTGCGACCACGCAGTAGCCGTCAACGTCTGCTTGTTCTGCCACTGACTTTTCTGTGTACCAATGCATTAGAGTGCAGCATCGCTCTAATGGGAGCTGTAGGGTGTGAAATTTGATAATTTTTTTGCAGTCCCTTCGATGTTGGCGCAATGGTACTGATCGCATCTATGATCCGCGGTTCCTCTAGCGAACATAAGCCGCACAGAAAGTGGGCGAGCGGGATAACAGACGACAACGAACTTATGAGCAGGAAAATGTATTACTGCTACCATTCAGAGATAGGCACAATATCAAAACAGATGGGACTCACTGCAATTCACTGATTCATCTAGTTCTCAGTGTCGGCAATCGCAACTAAGGAAAGCATGAATAGACAAACAGGGCTACAGTAAACTCCAAAGTTGGTCAACTTCGGGAAAAGCACTCATTACTGTAGTTACCAAGAGAAAAAATTTATTAAGAAGTGATGTATTAAGGGCACACGGCACCGTAAACAATGGCAAGACAATGGTAACAAGAAAAACTTTAAATAAAAGTTCATTACAGCTAGATACAGTCGGAGAGCCAGCACACCCCCGGAAAAGCACTGCAGTGCGCATCCTATCTGGCCCCTGTGGGGTTCCAACCTGCTCCTCGACTGTTTCCACTTTGTGGTCGTGACCACTGAGCTACGGGGATGGTAACGACTGTCGTGACTAGGATAGCGGATGTGATAGAGCGCCAGTTGATGAGCGGGCTACCCTGTACTCTGCACGGCAGTAACGTGCATATCAGTGGATAGTGTGTGGCGCTATATTACTCTACTATCTTACCCACAACAGTCGTTGCCGTCCCCCGTAGTTCAGTGAGCTCAACCACAGACAGGTAATAGTTGAGGTGCGGGTTTTGAGCCCCAAATGCGCCAGATAAAATGTACACTGCTGAAGGTTCCTGAAAATATGAAACGGCCATACAGTGCATTTCCAGGTATGTGAGGAATACCTGACTGTGTGTGGATGCGGTGAATTTCTACCTATACCACTCAACTCCCGCTACTACTCCACTGTAAGAGGAACTGTCAAAGGGGAACTCTCCCTACCCCAACTTAAGGAAGCGTATCCTTTCACGTAACCTCTCTCCATGGAACTTTTTAGTAGATTCGGAAATGAAACCGAAATCATTCCACTCCTTACATATCCGGCAGATGATAATAAGATGCTATCGTTGTTCTTGCAATTTATTCAGATAATCCGATTAGCCCATTGCCAATCCCTATCGGCATTCACGCATGATACGCACGCATTGGGTGCCTGAAATCCCTCCCGGTGACACAAATTGCGGGCGGTCATGGATGTTCGAAATTAGCCCAATATTGGACTAAATTCGGGCGCAGAGTACCATGTTGCTTCCGCATTGCCTCCATCGTCGATAGCTTACTTAAAAAATTTATAACCAGTTTATGCGTCTATTGAACTCTTCTGCACGAAAGCACTCAGCAGCGCATTACACTATTCCCTAGTACAGGTTAATGTCAACCCGACCCGGGCGACCGATTAGTCCCATTTCGGGTTTACAGTAGCGAACGGCGTTCGCATTTCGCTAGTCGCAGAGACCCATTTCGTATAAGGGGTAATACATTTCTATGACCAACGCACCAATGCACGAACCGGCTCTTAAGGAACCAGTAGTACTCTCATATACAAGAGCTTGAAGCTTGAGATGAGCGTCCGAAATTCGACCCTTTTACGGGAAAATTCCGACTCTCTGAAATCAGATCTGCTAATCTTTCTAGACGGTTTACGTAGCCCAAATCACCGCTACATGATCGCCATCACCCCTGATATGCAATCCCCGTCAGCTCAGACATGCAAAAGAGGCGTCAAATTCCAGAATATGCTATTTACTTTCATGATAAACAGTTACAATCTTTTATCACATATCCCCGGTGTTGTACTGGAAATCCGATGGAAAATCTCGCTCTTTGATATGCTGGAGCCATCGCCGAATCATGTCGATCACCAATGATTCCGTGCACCCCGCGAAGTCTTGGCGCATGGTCTCTTACCAATTATGGACCGGGTCAAATGAGATCGGCTTATGCGCTGCTTCGCATGTGCGCCTCGCCAGTTTAACTGGCGTACTAGTGCATTTCTCATTAAATATTGCATGAGATCGCGCACGCATTCGGAGAGTGACTTGCCACCGAGATTTGCGAAGTACTCCATCTAAAACAGGTGATATATGATTGTGCAGAATACCATCTTCTACATACTGTCATGGATTTGCAGCCGCGCGTTAAGAGTGATGAGCTCTTCTACGGAGCTCATCGGTAGTAGGAATGTGCTAACTGCTACT